GCAGGATCACAACTTTAATGATACAATGTGCTGGGCCCAAAATTCTGGAAAATACCAAACCATCCAAGTGGCTTCCCGATGGGCCAGCGATTTTTAAGACTGAGGCTCGGGTATCACTTTTGCATTTCACAACCATACAACGATTGCTTCCGTCCTGCTGCGACTGTGTAGCACCGCGCTCCTGGAAATTGTTGAAATTGTTGTCTTCGGTGCCGTGGAACACCTGCACAAACCGAGATTGCTCCAAGCTAGGCACTGCAACTACAGGGTCGTGATCGTCTTGGGCTTGGCATCCTCGAAGCTTTCGGGTGTCAAGAGGGGATTCAGGCCCTGCCTCAGACACGAGCACAGGTGGGAGAGCTGATGCTTCGACATCCTTCGCCTGGGCACTGCTTTGGCCCAGAGGGTTGCGGGCTGTCAGTTCAGTTAGCCCTTCATAATTAGAATGGGGCTTTGGGGCCCACTATACTATAATTGTATGAAATAAGGGAACCCCCCCAAAACAGCAACCCTAAACTGGAGCACATTCCGAGGTGCATCCGACACTTCTCGCCCAGCGAGCTGGGCCAAAGCGAGCTGCAAGTTTGCATTCTCGGAGCGCAGTCGAGAGTACTCCTCCGTCGGAAGTGGGTGTTACGGGTTTCTTAGGCGCCTGAGACGATTGTGTTTCCCAGCTACTGTAACTAGTAACTAGTGGGTTTGGGGGTCTCGTCTAAGGAGAGGATGATCGGCAAGGCAAGGGAAGGGAGGCTTTTTTCTCGGTCCTCTGAGAGCGACGCCACATTTTGGAAAAACAGCGAGGCGTGATCGGCGTGATCCTCACCGGCCATGGCGCTGGTCCACTGAAAGTGCGCGTGCCGAGCGCGCAAAGCTTGGTGTCAGGCGCCAGCCGAACTCCGACAGACCAGAAGAGAGGCTGACCCCGAAAAACAGCCGAACAAAAGCCCCGGATAGTGCCACGATGCTCAGAAGTTTCCTCGACAAATCTTATGTTTTTGCGGGACCTCCCAAGCAAGCGTGTCAAGGTTTGCGAGCATCCTTAGCACTCGAACCGAAACTCCAAAGGACCATAGCTCTCACAAGCGAGCGGCGCAGAGAAAGAAAAGGGCAACCTACACAATGCCCCACGGGGGCACCCGAAAGAAGTGAAGTGTAGTGATGGGCCTTTTGCAGCACGAGGACGCCGGCGATCGCTTTCGGATCTCGGAGCACAAGCCAACTTTGGCCGAACCCCTCGTCAGCTCACCACAGCTCACCTATCATGCCCTTCCTCTTCTTAGGTGAGAGTTCTATCGACTGGTGGGAGCTTGGAAGTGGTACTACGACACTCCCAAGGCCCTTCGGAGTGCATGCAACCTCGGCTGTTTCACCAAAGGCCCTAAACGTGTGAACGGGCCATGTGGGGAAGGCCGCCAACGCGGGATCCCAACATGTCCAAGATGTGCGCGGTCTTGGGCTTGGGATGCTCTGCAAACCCACGATGGTCCCGACTCTGGGCCCTCACATTGCCCGTTAAAAGTGACACGTCACTAGCTTCGAAAGCGCTTGGCTTCGGGGTTTAAAGTTGAAGGGAGTGAAGTAAAGGGTGCCCAGACTGGTGGGGAAGAGACGGGGATGCTCAGCGCAGGTGCTCTTGAGGCAGCCAACGGTGCGCCAGCCATCCTCCTGCAACTGGGAAACTAGACACTTCTGCAAGAACAGGTTCTGAGTAAGCTCTGACATCATGTCTGGCAACTGCAGGCGGATCTGTAAGGCAGCTGACAGCACACCAGATCACACCGGCAAACACAGCCCATTGAATCTCAGAATGGATCTCCTGCAACCTGACTTCACTCGTCATCAGCCGAGTGCAAGTCCGCTGGCCTTGGCTTCAGGAGTCTTCCATAGCTCCCAGTCTCTAAATTCTGAACACATGTATTCAAAAGCAGAGAAGAGTCTACGACACGGGGGAATGATTCTCTGGCAACCTACAAGAAACAACCCAGATGCCAACTTCCGAAGTACCAAATACGCGCCGCTTGGTCAGCTCTCGATCATCCACTCTTCATACTGAGCCCTCGGCTTCTCAATTCTCGGTCTCAAAAAGTTCAGGTACAGGCTTTTGAAAGGCCTGGCATGGCTGCACTCAAGGCTATGTTGACCGATGCACAGTGTTGGTGGTTGTGTACACTACAGAGCAACTCGACATCACTCGACTCGCCACAAACTCCTTGAAATCCCTGCTTCGAAATCAAACCGTGGCAGGCGGAGCCATGGAAGGCACCAAACTGGCGGGGCTCTTTCGTACGGTCATACGGCACACAAGTTCGAGTTGTTCTGGGACTGAAATGACTCCGACCGGACAAACCAGGGTTCCACTCAGCTTAGGCTTTACGGCTTCGGGTTGGTGGTTCAGGGTTGTCTTTGTCGGGCTCTGCATCTCAAGGACTTTGACTGCCTAGGTATGGCGACGAGAACGCCTTTGGAAAGAAGACTTTCACGAAGCTTGTCGGCACTGCAACTACAGCGGTGTGGTTAAAGAGAAAATGTCTTAGCAACATTAGTTAACATTCAGCAACCAATTTGCTTGGGCCGTGACTTTGCACAGCCGTGCCACCAGTGCTCTTTGAAGCCCCCATAGACACAACAAGCGCTGACTCGAGCTCGGGCTGCTTCTGGGAGAGCTTCGTCACCAAAGAGGTCTCGGGAGGTCGGCAGAGGCTTGGATTGAGGCTGAGTGCCGAGCCGACGTAGTCGTACTCCTTCGACAGGGATCTGACATCCAAACTGTAATGCCTTTTATTATGGGTTACTAGAAGGGTACTAAACAAGAGTTCCTGTAAGGTTCCCACAACGGTACTGTAGGGGCTGTTACAAGGATTATGGATGTTCCGTCAAGCGAAAGCATGACAATAACCGAGGTGCCAAAGCCAAGTGACACATGCCGAGCCCGGGAACTGTAAAATGGATTGGGGCGAATGCTGGACAAAGCGCATTGGGCATTGGACCTTCAACTGAAGTACGCATTACAGTGCTGCTTCGCTCGATACACGTCATGCCTGGGTGTCGCAACAATCCAACAACATGGAGACTGACTCAGAGTTTTCTGCAGAACACTGGAAGTACGAGCGAGGGATCATCATTGGGTGAGAAACGATTGGTTCAATTTTGGGCCGGATGCGCTGACATGTTCAACACCATGAAATCCCCATCCACGGCAAGTGCTGCGGCTCAGGCTGTCTTTCCCGCAGGAAGCTTGCACGAGTGCCGACGAGTTGCGGTACCAACAGCCGCAGCTTAGCATGCCGCAGGGCTTTCGTGGCTACATGCTTTGAGAGGCGATGGGCGCTGTTTGCTGTCCGCAAACATCCCGGTCATTCCTGGCGTCCGAGTTCTACGCGCATCTTTACCAGCTGTAATGGCCGTTCTTGCTCCGGTGAAGGCCACCGGGAGTTCAGCGATAGTTCCTCCGTCAGGCAGGCACCCTCAAGGACTTTGCCTCTGAGGCACGGGCTGCGCCATCTTTGCAGGTTGTTGTTCTGGGGAATGCAATCCCAGCAATTGCTGCCCTTGACAAGTGCCTTGAGATCTTTGCACGATGTGCACGGGGCGCATGACGAATGGGGCCGTCAAATGCTTAAAAGCCCGTCCCTCCTGCATACGTCTGCAGTGGGACACACGAAGGAGCTGCGACGCACGTTGATGCAGAAGGGGCAAACGTCGTGGGCATGTGCAAAGTGACGGCTTCGGTGCTCGACGGAGCATGGCCAGACCGCCTCCAGTCTGCCAGTACAGCACATGGGGCAAGACTCCTTTTGACCGCTCTGAGGCTCAGAGGCTGTCAGGCTTGGGCCCCAATGCATGCCCTGCACTTGACTTTCGTGACTTTCGAGACACGAAGACGCAATAACAAGCCACAAGCAAGCCTTCAATGTTCGTACAGTGCCCCTACATTTGACTTGAGATTGCAAGCGTCCTTCCACTTGTACTTCTTCGTAAAATAGCCAGCCGCTACCCGCGTCTTCTGATACCTCTGCTTAGGCTGGCTTCAAGAGACACGGAATGACCGCTGGGGCGAAATATGTCTAGTGTCTCCGGTGAACATCGGCTTTTGAAGGAGGCGAGATTCCGCTTTGGGGATCCACAGAAGACGTTGACGATTGAAAGATTATGTCCCAATGAAGCGCCTCTATGACAGATCGAATCGAAGCTAAGATCGCGGCTCGTGGATGAGTATCGCAAACCACGTGTTCACGAAGATCAGCCTGCCCAGTTTCTTTCAGGGTGAGTTGTGGGACGGAGCTCGCATGACTCTTTCCTCTTGGGTGAAGGTGGCGACTGCACAGCTCATATGCTAGTTCTGACCGACCTCCTGCTATACCCTGCTCCGCCGGGCCCCAACAGTTGCAATGCCGTCACAAGGCATGAGGTGCAAAACGAGGCATCCGTACAAGTTCATGAGTCTGGTTGTGTTCATATGCACATTTACCTGTCTATGTATGTAAGCATGCTGCATGTATGTATGTATGCATGTATGCATGTATAAGGTACTTCAGCAGACCGCCCTCTGATCTCGGGATCTTGCGTGCCTCGTGGCATAGTACAGGACAACGTTGAAGCTGAGCCTCAATGCATCCCTTCTCAGTCTGTTTTACACGTCCATCTGCGTTGGGCAGTGGAGCCTGACTAGTTAACTAGACTGCTAACATCAGTAGTTGAAAGGTTGCTGCTGCAATGTGGGCCGTGATTCCAAGTAGTGTCCGAGCTATTGCTGCTACCAGTTTTGCTAGCCTTAGCAAGCTGTTGCTACCTGTACAAAAAGCACTGTTGTCGTGGCTCCACATTCCGTCCTTCTTGCGCCTGCTCCCGTCAGTTGGGGGCTTAGCAGCATGCAAAACTCGGCATCCTGCTGCCAGCCGCGGTTGGCGTCGTAGCCCTGGCGGAACAATTCAGGCTGCAGTATAAACTGTGCACGGCACCGAGTCCGCAAGCATCAAACTTGCAGTGTTAGTTTGCAGGACCTAATGAGTCCAAACCGCCAGCTTCTCCAGAAAAAAAGAATTTGGGCGTTTATGAGGCCACAAGGCATCAGTATTATCCAATGCATCACCTGATTCCCGAACATGGCTTCTGCAATCAGGTATTTCAGCAACATCATGGCTACGGATGCGGTTGTGGCTGGGGTGGTGGTCGCTGTGCTTCTGGTTGTCCTTGTTGTGTGTTTGCCGTTGGCAGTTGTCGGTCATCAACAAGCCGTCTTTCGCAAAGAGCATCGGCGTTGCGGCGCAGGCCTTGATCGTCTCGTCATCCCCGAAGATCATGAGCAGGTTCTGCGTCAGGGCCGATCCAAAAGTCCTCCGCGAGGGGTTGATGGTCGGAGCTTGTGGGCTGCCCCATGCAGAAATCACCGCTTCCCTTCATACGCTTCAGTCGATGAAAGCCCATGAAACTTCTGCTCCGGAGCCTGCCGAGCCCGGTCCTGGCGTACTGGTCGAAGTTCGAGGACACCCCCATGCTCAGCACCGTAAGTGCTCCGAGGATCGGTGCAAACACCACCAGCAGCCTGCCGCGCGGCGCAAACTCTTCTTGCATTGCGGTATCTCGCCGCTACTAGCATCAACATCATCACCAGGTTCATCATCACAGTGGTCAAGCTCGTCATCGCCATCATCTGAGCAGCCATCCGCAGCCTTCCACATCGTCGGTCTACCATGCTTCACAACTTGAAGACTTAACCCATGTCGCTGCACGTATACCCTAGTGGCTCGGGAATTGTGAGGGCTCCCCCTCAGCACTGAATGCGAACCGAAGCGCATGAGGCATTCAACAGCTGTGGCTCTGGTGTCATACGTCCGAAGGGACAGCGACAATTGCTCGGAGCAACGAAACCTGTGCAAATACTACCAGCCGTGGGAATACAATAACATCAGCAAACCACCCGCGTGCAAAAACACCACTTGGTAATGCTAGAGTTATCCACCGTGGGAAACCTCTCCTAGGTCCTCGGCAAGAGCCACCCCACCTTAACTCGTGTATTCTGCGGCTCCTTCAATTGATATCTCAAAGAACGGAACCTCAACCCCATGCCGTTTACCCAGAGCCTCAATGCGATCATCGTGGCCCGTGCCACTGAGGTCCAGATGATGAAGACCTCTGGACGTGGAGTTGTGCGGTGGGGACAAGCTCTTGCTCTGTAGATCGCTCCTGCCGGGAGCTTCAGCTGCCTGGGGCAGCGGCGTGGCGGTTCACCTTCAGGAAGTAGAGGGCGCGGTAAAGAACCAAAGCCTCATCCCAAGAACTCCATGCACAAAGCCGCTCGAGAACTGTGGCTGCTTTCAGTTTCCGGGATTGCGCAGTGAGGCTCGTAGTGCAAACCCTCCCCCGCCCAGGACTCTCGCCGCCATCGCAGCATCCAGAGCAAGGTGCTGGTTGTAAGTTTGGGAAAGCTCCGTCGCCTGAGCGCAACGCCAAGCAATGACGAGGATGTTCCGCCACATGGCAAAGCGCGTGCGAGTTGCAACTTTCTTCGGGATGCGGGGTCAGCTTACTCTCAACGCTCCAACGGCACCCGTCAACTCAACCTGAGGAAAGTACGTCAAGGACACCGTTGGAATGGTCGGCCAAATAGCTAACCGACCCGACCTGGCTCTAGCACATGCCAGCGGCGATGCGTTTGGCGCCGTGCTCACACAGCAGCCGGTTCACACCCGACTTCCCAAAAGCGACGGCGTGAGACTAAATCCGCTGAGGCGGTGGCATTGAACGTCGTGTAGCCTGAGCTGAGGAGCTGTCGAGGCGGCCCGGGCCCGGGCCCTAAGAAGCCCTCGAAGCCAAGCAGCGCAGGCCAAGCATGGCGAAGAACACGCTCCCGATGCTGAGGTCCACTGCGCCCTCCAGCGTCGTTGCAGCTTCAGATCGAAGACCAGATTACCACGTTCTTCGGCATGGACAGACGGGATTGAAAGTCAGGTGCTCCAGCCTGAATGGTAAAGAAGTGCTTCCACCCAGCGCCGTTGACCCTCCGCTCGTACATGAAGTCCCAATAGACCTGAAGCGGCGCACAGGCTCCCAAGTATTTGCGGAAACTCGGGTGCCATTGCCATCCAGGCCTGGAAAAGACAGATGTAGAGCACGAAGAGGGCCCTGGAGGTGGAGGCAGCGGGCCGTCACGTCTCAACTTAACGGTCGAAGGACTTGCCTGATGATGTCCGAGAGAAGTTGCGCAAAGCCGCTGCCGTACTCAATCATGCCGGGCCTCGTCAGAGCAGGAGGACTTGGGGGGGGGGGGGGGTGTTGAATGATTGCACCTAACCTATGAACTACCAGAACCTGAATCCGGGGATGCATATAAACTTGGCTTAGCTTCAGCCGGCACGGCACTACAATCACCAAACTTGTGTGACACCAAGAGCTGTGGTTTTTATCCGTGTTTGTGTGGATGGAAATAAGGAAACCCTTCCGCAGGACTCTTCCGCATGCTTCCGTGCGCGAGGGTTTTGCTTCCGCGGGCCTCAATTTGCATACCGCTTCCGCGGATCCCTTCCGCAAGGGTTGTTTCGCTGAGTTTGCGGGGTTTGCTTCCGCAAGTGGGGGCTCAAGTCTTGAGGAGGCTGTTTGTTTGGGCAAACCACGGGTACAACTTCAACCACCAAGAAAGGATGCAAGCTTACGTAAAGCGCGAAGACACAAGCAAGCACATCGGAAGAGGCTTAAAATTAGGTGGCTTTCGGCTTCGGCTTGTAAACCCTTGGGCCCTTGGGGGTATCGGGAAGTTCGGCGGGTTTCCAATCCATATTTGCGGGTAAGGCATTCCGGGTACGGAATTTGGGTTTTGCGTTCGGTTTCCAATCCAACTTCCTGTTTAAGGCCCTGGGGGTATTGAATTTCGGCGGTTTCCAATGATTGGCCTTAGATAGGGAATACCAGCGGCTTTGCTTTCAACGGTTTTCAATCCCAGATCCGGTTTAAGCTCTTGAGGGCTTGGGATCAACTTTTCGGGTTCCACCTTCCGCGGAGCTTCCGCGGACGTCCCCTATCATCCAGAAGAGTTTTGCAGATGATGATCATCATCATCATCATCATGATGACGCAGATGTGCTATTCGTCGTCACCGCTCGACTACGGTTAAGTTTGCAAACACCCGTGAACAAGTATATGGACATGGCAACATGCATGATAACAATGAGCGTGGTGGTGATGCTGATAATGACCTGCTTCTTACAAGGACCTGGAGCCTGCAATCCTCCCGGAATGGCCTTTGGGATATCTGTGACGTATCTTAAGGTGGAGCCTCCGCGGGACCTTCCGCGAGCCGATTGCTTCCGCAGAGCTTCCGCGTGCTTCCGCGCACACAGTTCCGTGCAATTTTCTTCGGCTGAAACCATTCATATTTCCAGGCCTACTCATAATGAAAGAAGCGCGGAAAAAAAAAACACGATTGGGAAACCACTCCAGTTTTTCCCGACCGCAGAATATCCCAAGCCGTTTACATCCTCCGCCTGAAGGTGGAGACGTCGATCTTCGGCGTGACTGTGCCGAAGCCGGTCATCTCGAAGGAGTACCTACTCCGACTGTATTTCATTTCCGATCCACTGATGCTGCTCGGACAGGCAACTTACTAAGTTTCGGTCGGTGCAAAAGGGGCCTGTCCCTGGAGTGTTTGTAGGTTTCCTTGAGAAAGGGAGAGTTTGCAGCGACCCGGGTCAACTTTGGTCAAGGTTCTTCCACTTCTGATTCAACCCTCGCGCTACGATTGATCGGCTGGCACCTGCTCGGAATCCAAAGGTCGTAGTTGGGGTTGTACAGCGTGAACTGCACATGGACCGCCCTGGTTTGCGTGTCCAGCCTGAGATTTTGTGGCTCTCCCAAGGCCACCGGAGTATCGAAGACTCATGCTCTGCTCTACCTGCGATTCAAACGTGCGACGCCCCTAAGCGTGTCTTGACCTTGGGGCTAGGGCCCGGGGGGCAAAAGCTGAGGAGAGGTGGAGGGTCAAACATGCAGGCAACCCATCAGTTATACGATACTCGACGAAACTCTACTAAGCTTTGCAAAACTGTACTGTACTGTGCTGTACTACTCTTGCTGTTCTAGTCTTTTCTCAGCCTGAGCTGCTGCAAGACAGAAGAAGGAGCCCTCATCATCAGCAGGCACGCTCCGTTCAAGGTCCCCGGCCAACTCTCTCGGGCCAAGAAGGCAACATCTTCTAGGAAAGCCTGTCGAACCGTGTCTGCAGACCTTAGGAAGTCGAGGGATTCAAGCGTTAAGTCTCGGGAGGCCGTCCTAACATGTCCTGCATCTGGCGTTCCCGGCTCTCCCCGCCCATGCCATGGTCCCACGTGGAGAGGGGAAAGGGGGGCGGGCCGACAGGTGCGGAATCCTTGTGTCTTCTGCACCCGGACTTCGCGGTGATGCTTCCGATCTTTTCAACAGTCACAGGAATGGGAAGGGTATCCTCGTCACAGTTGCTGTTTTTGGATCGCGGACTTGCAAGAATGCATGAAACACGGCAACAGTCACAGGGTTTTGAGGGGCAATTCGTGAAGGTGTTCAGTTCTCGCTTTTGGAACGTGGCAAAAATGCCTGCGAAGAGTTAACAATCACAAGGATGGCGTTGCTTGGAGCTGGAATGTGCGAGACAGTTGATGCTGTTGGACCTGGACAGTGCAAACGACGAAGAGAATGATGACAACCGCATCTCGAACGTGCCAACAGTCAACAGGATGCGTCGCGACCCTCATGACTGCCGTCGTTTTCTGGATCTTGATATTGACTGTCGTCATGTACTGCTCTTCACATCGCCGGGGGGTCTTGGACTCAAAAACACGCGCTCTCACGGGGAAAAAGGAGCATTGAACAAAGCCAAGCCAAAACCCCCCCCCCCACAAAAATCGGGACCCTTCCGGTCGTGCACCTACAGGGGGAACGGCGGAATTGACATCCGTTTCGATTCACATACAACCAAGAAGACAAGCCCCGACCCGCACTGGGAGAAGATTGCGGTCAAAACCACGCAAGCTGAAAGACAAGACTCCAACCCAAACCGAAACCCACACGGGTCTTTTGCCCTGGAGGGCACGAAAGGACGCGGATTCAAACCCGAATGGGGGGAGAGATTCCTTGACCTTGGCAGGGGGCGGGGAGCACGTGACCATACGTAACAGCTGGGTGGCAGACGGGTGCTGCAAGCTGTACTCGACACCTTGGCCAGGCAGAAGGATCTGTCAGTCTAATCTACCGGTACCTCCTCAAGCGGTCTCTCGGACTTTCTGCTGCGGGAAAATCGGAAGCAGTTCCGACATTCGAGTTCGAATCACATGTCACATGAGTGTACCACATGCACAGACTGAACACAAGACTTGCTTCCTTGATTTGCGTGGCAGAAAAATTCAGGATTCGGCTGTATCCCGAACCATCCACAGCAGAGAATGTCATCTGTGTGGATGCTTCTCCTGACGGAATTGGCGAGACTCCACCTCCCGTCTATGCAGGATGACATGCCCTTTCGATCCAGCTTTCACATCGAGCATGTGGCAAGACTATCTAAACCTATCGAGCAGAGTCTTCCCACGCTTACATCAACGTTGCCAGCATGAGCTAAGCTTTCTAGTACGACCCCGCAGCCTCTGGGCGAAGCCATGCGCGACGGACCCCACTGCCATGGGCTGATCTGATGGGAGCGACCGTCCTCCAGGGCCACCGCGGATCAACAGACTGGGCAGAAAGTACTACCCGGAAGCCGCATGAATCTGCGTGAAGCATTGAAGCATCACTGGAAAACGGCAGGAAGCATGAGTTGAAACTAGAGAGATCTGAGATTTCCATAAAGGAAGAAGGCATCAATGACAAGGGCAATCCAAGGCCCAGTCCAAGCCAATCTTGCCCTGGAAGTAGGTGTAAACTTCTGCGAGGCTTCCTGTCGCCGCCTGACAAAGGAGATTCATGGGAATTCGATCCGGCTTTAGGCGCTCGTTGATCCTGATTCCTCACCCTATCGGCAGCTGCATCCGGCGAGCATGGCGAGTTAGCGATGCCGAATGAAAACCTTCAGCCTTCGAACAAAGCCCTCGACTCTGGTGCCCGGCACTGGAGACACAACAACACAACCGCAAGCTGTTCCAATGTTCTCCTGCCCTAGCACGACTGACGGAAACATGACCTGGTTCATACTGGCCCAAAACTCGGCTGGATCAGTTCATCCTCCCAACTATCAAAAGGCGCTTCAAGAAAAGCCTAGGACTTGGTCTTCTGAGACCCCGGCTGTGTCGTCCGTGTACGCCATGGCATAACCTTGGCTTTCCGGGGCTCCCAACTAAAATGCGGCTCGTAAGTACAGGCAGCTACAGAAATAGACGTTCAGGGTCGGCCCCATGAGTCGACAAGGCACAAGCCAAAACAGCTAGGGCGCGGCGCAAATGACCAGAATCTCCCAGCCACGACCCTCGAAACACTAAGCTCCGAGCACGAGACATTGGGAGGCAGAGCGAAGGATGTATCCTGGTCAAGGTCAACTCAACAGGAACACCCTGGCGATCCTTTTTCAAACGTCCGGCGACCGCAAAACCATCATGGTGCGGTGCGAGCATGTCTTGCCAAAGCCCAACAAGACAGCTGCTTGCAGAAAGCCACAAGCTGAGGGAGGATTCACAGTTCCAAATTCGTTAAACTTTAGAGTCGTAGAGTCTGGTAGCAGTATCTACGATGTCAGGACCTCAAACCAAATCAGGACGCAAATCTTTAAAAACTTAGCATCCATACAACCTCGCTGCTACAAAACTGCGCCTCCTGAGGGCACTGTGCAGCTGTTGACGGCTGGACGTTTTGAACGAGAACCTGCGCAGTGCTCGCTGTTCCTGTAGCCGCAGCTATTGACTTGTGGGGCATGGGCCAAAGACGGCCAAAGCTTAGACATCTTCGACCCTGCCTGGAGGTATCCAACAGCATAATTTCCGCTGCGCAGCAGAGAGTCTGGTGTAAACAGCTCGACCTGTTACACGATGCACGGGATTCGGATTGCCAACGTGAGCTGGTGAATTATGCACTTGCATCTTGCGCATGATCTTGCTGACGGCCGTTGACCACGACACTTGCAACTGTGACTGCGTAGCTGCATTTCCCGTTTGGGATGCGCTGGCTGAAACAGTCAGCATGTTGAAATCATCTTATCTGAGGTTCACGAAAGTTTACGAGCCATTGGCAACCAATCTGGCATGCTGCTGGCATGCGATAAACCTGAAACCTAAATCTGAAAGCCCGAAACATCAGCATTCCGTTTGCATGTAGAACCTCTGCCGTTCAAGCTGCACTAGCAACCAATTTCGCTCATGCTGTCGGCCGAGCATCCGGCCGCCACGGTGTCCGTCAACCTAAGGGGTCCGATGAGATCCCACTTGTGGCGTCGGTATGAAGACGCTCTGCCCATGAGCGCCCCACCATGCCCAAACAGAACTCGGTGTTCGGATGTCTTCGAAGTCTACGGTATGCACATCACCTGCCGTGATTGCCCTCCCGGATAGATTTCAAAGGCAAGTTTGCAGCCACAGGAAACATGAAAGTAGAGCAAAGCCTCGCCAGCATGTCGATTGGCAAGAGCACTACGAGCATGATTCAACACAGATCCCTTGCTTCGCTGCGACAGTGCCGGCTCGACCAGAGGTGAGAGGGAGCACAGCTCCTCGCAGCTTCGAGACTGTGCAGAGCCCGGACACTCCCTGGTTCGCCGTGTCCTTCACGGCATAAGTAGTTCACTCCGGACGGCTGCATCAGATAGATGTCGTAGACCGCCAAGACGAGAACAGTAAGATAGATCTCGGACATGGAAACACAGTCTCACGTTAAAAAAGGTTTCTAGCTCAGGCCTCTCTCTGCATGTTGCTATGGCAAACACTACGAACTACGGTGAACCGGAGGCCAAAGCATTTCTCCATGTTTCCTGTTGCTTCGGAACTGTTTTCTGCCCCGGACTGTCGCGGCCAGCGGCATCCTCCCAACTGAGAGGCCAGCGAAAAAATTTCGCAGCTTCATGCGCTGCAAGTGCCTCGGCATTTTGGTCAGCTCCGCTTTGCTTTGAAGGCCAGAATTGCGCTAAGACCTGGGCTGCTTCACGTTCCTGTCACGCTGCGTCATGAACCTCAGGGAGCGTGCCATCAAAAGAGTCGCCGAAGCTAGTATATTAATTGGCTTTGAGCCAAGAGTGATTCCCAGGCCCCCGGCGCAAAAAGGCCAGGAAGAAACATCATCTGCTCGGCGAGTTCTCCGCTCGAGCCTTTTTGCAGTCTCGAGGCTCGAAGGCTTCCCGTCTCTTGACATGCTCTCGCTCCAAACATGAAAAGCCCGTAAGTCACCACATCGCGCACGAGGCCCTGCCACAGCAACCCGCCCCGTCGGCTCTACCTCCTGCTGCAGCGCCCTCGCCCTTGCCGGCATCGTGGCTGGACTTGTTGGCACCTGAGCATTGTGGACTACCGTCGCCTCACCTAGAGCAGGGCTTGTGCACGGACAAGTACCCTTATCCTCTCAGCCTGAGCGTGAACCTGTGCCATAAAGCATGTTTGCAAATGCAGGTTCATGAGCGGTTGGAACACCAAATGGGTTCAGGGAGTGTTGTGCGGCGGAATTCAAGGCGTGTCTGTATCCTAGAAAAATGGATCTTGATGGAATGTCTACACTTTCAGGCCCGATGTCCCAAGTCCGAAGTCCCATCAGTTGCCTCCTCGTCGTGCCTTCCGACCTGCACACAGGGCTTGGCTTCAGAAGGCTTTGCTAGCTGAATCACCTTCAGCACTCGAGGACCTGCCACTTGGCAGCTTCCCTGGGGATCCCGGCCTGCTTTGGGCAAGATGTTGGTCAACTCCCTGTCCATCATGGACGTGTTCTTCCTCGGCTCGGCATTTTGCTTGAAGGGTGCCCTCAGCCACATCTCCGGCCCCCTCGGCACTTTTTACGGCTGGCAGTTTTGCGGGAAGCGGGATCCCTCCTCTTGCGGGCTGCACAAAGGCATTCTGATTGCCGATCACTCAAGCAACTTAACATGCAGACCATCGAGGAATGGAAATCCTCCCGGGCACTGTACTGCTCCGAATTGGAGAATGCCCCGCTGCAAGATTATCTGATGCAAGGAGCCCGTGCTGTACTACGCCGCTCTGCATCAGCTTTGAACCTCAGGGACTCGATTCTCGAACGGAGCCTTCGATTGCTCCTGCAGCAGCTGCCATGCCAGCGGGCTTCCCGAAACGCCCCGCAGCCTTCCTCAGAGGGCCATGCTCTGTCAGAACATTGGGGTCCACCTCCTTGATCTTTCGGACAGTCTTATTGAAGTCCGAGAGATTCTCCTGGCCCTTGATGCCGATGTTCTGCTTGCCTTTGGGGTGCCCGCGAATCTGCTCGGCATTGGTCACATTCTTGGGACGCTCGCCGGCTTCCACCAAGTTTCGGTTGAGTCTCCCCGAGCCCTGCTGAGGCAGGGCCTCAGATTTCAGGTTCTTCAGGCCCTTCGCACTCGTCTCCACCTGGTAGGCTTTCATGTTCAGCTCGGCCTGCTGGATCCGCTTCGCCTCCAAGTAAGGCTTCTGGTGCTTAGCACTCTCGCTGACCCACGTCTCGCCCATAGGCCCTCCTTGGTTGTGGCCGGCAGGAAGCTCGCCACTCTTGACTGCCTGCTTGCCGACTTCTTCGGGCATCGTGCGATACACCCTGGCAGCCGTCGCCTTCTGTGCCAGCTTGCCACCTGCATAGCCAGCCGCACCGTCCATGGCAAGCCCTGCCCCAAAGTCGAAGATGTCCCCGGCGTCTGCCTTTCCATCTGCCATGTTCTTCACAGACTCCACCACGCCACTGGGTCGGAATTCGCCCTTGATGGCAGAATCCACGCCTGTGGTGATTCCATCCACTGCTGCACCGCCGGCTATGCCGCCAGCAACGGCACCCACCGGGCCACCCACCAAAAATCCACCCGCGCCGCCACCAATTGCACCAACTGTCCGGGAGGCTCCCTTCATGGCTCTCTCTCCACCCTCATCGTCGCCACAGGCGTAGTGGATGCCACCCTTGATGTGGCCAACTATCGGAATGCCGTCCGCCAAACTGAACATGGCCCCTCCGAACTGTTTCTGTGTTTCCGCTGCCCCCTTGGTGTCTCCTGCTATGGCCTGCACAGCCGAAGTCACTTGAGAGACGCCGGGGCACTGCCGGATGAAGTTCTGTTGGGTGCGCTCTGCACCTTTCACATCACCGGCGATGAGTTGAAACAGGGACTTCGTTTGCGACAATCCGGGAAACAAGTCCACCATGGTTGGAGGCTGCCGTGAAACAAGGCCCGAGCCGAACGCGGAGCCAAAATGGCTTCAGGGTTTTCATCACCAGCATCCCTTCACATCCGCTGTACTCGCAATGAGAGCTCCGAAAGCTCTAAGCGCCCAGCGGCGTCTTCTGCACCAAACTAAAGTGAGCATCCTCGTTCTCATTGAAGCAGCTCTGGATCCTTTGTAGGTGAAACATTGGCTCGTGCAGGTCGAGGAAAGCAGGACGTCGCAGGCCGAAGTCCAAAGCCGGATACACTGCTGCCCTGAGCCTGAGCGCTTCACGTGAGGTCGTCATGGACCTTCGCATTGCTCATGGTCTTCAGGATGAAATCCACCTCCGAGAGGCCCCAGTACCTCAGAGCTGTGGCGTCTGGCACTTCAGTCTTTGGAGTCCTGGAAGAGGGAGGCTGGGAGTCTGACAAGCAAGCGTCCTCGCGCAAGTTCTTGGACTTCATGTCCTTGTCCTCGGCAAATCGTAAGATGGACAGGGTTTTGCATCTTGGTCCCCATGGGCTCAGCTCAAACCCCCTCCAAGTCCCCACTTGCAGCTCGAAGTGCTGAACTGGGGCAGCGACCACGCGGAAGCTAAGGTTGTACTTGAGCTCGGAGTTCGGGATGCAGTATGTGACCAAGACTGTATCGATGTATCTACCTGCCCGAACAAAGACGTTGGGCTCCACAAAAAAAGTGGGTTCGTGGCGGCGAACACTGGATCTTGAAGCTTGGGGATGAGGAAAAAAGCACAGCAGCTGTGGGGAAGGCACTTTCCAGAGCTTGCTCCTCTGCAGACCTTGGTGCACATCGTTGTGTAAGTTGCATCTATGAGATCCTGGAACTTCGCAGTACTTACTGCTCGCGTGTGAATCCCGACATTTTAGCAAAGTGTACCGGGAGTGCAGCCCGAAATTAATTATGGGCAAACTGGACCAACTCCTCAGTGTTCTGATCGGGGCTGTTTAGGTCAGGAACGGTCTAGGCGTTGCAAGCAATTTGGGGTGTCCTTCTTCGACAACGTTTGGGGTTTAGGGCCTCTAGGTTTGAGATTTACGTAGTGGCTGCATCATCGTCTGTCGGAGAAGCTCCTTGGGCACCCGTGCTTTTCCACCATCAGCTCGACCTCGTCGTAGATGCGAATACCCAGCCTCGGGTGATAGAGTGCTACAGTACTCAATTCACTTCACCCAGCTACCAACCATATCTTATTAATGGGGAACTCCACACTAAATGTTCTGACTCTAACCCCGTCATTGACCTCACCGGGGCTCGAGCTCGTTTTGAGTTCGGTTCCGTTGCACCTTCGCAAAGATTTGACTCCCAGCATCCTCTGAATCGAAGCTACTGGGAAACCCCAGAGATCCACAAAGCTCTGAGCAGTTTCCCGCCTGCTCCTGTAACGTGGTCTCCATGAAGCGCCGCACATTGGCAGTCTGCAGCTCCATCGCCTGGCGTCGCAGAAAGACCAACCCGCAAACTGTACCAAAACGAGGCAGCTCCTGCCTGCTCTCGTTGGAGATCGTCTTGAGTCGACACGATCTGGCCAGCAATACGCCACTTTCCAATAGGACTTTGACGGCTTCCCGCTTCAATCGCTCTAAGAAAAATCTACCGGGGAAGAACTCGCCCGTTGAACACGAACCAAACCCTTCGTCCTAGATCGGCACCTCCTCGCCGCCCCTGTGCCGCCTGAAGTGGTCATCGAAAGAACGAGTTGTCGTATACGGACAGCCACAGCAGCTTGCCCAGCGAATTGGATTAAACATGTACGGCTGCATGGGACATGAAAGCGGACTCAATGTCTAACTGTCACGAATTATGTACTGACATCCGCCCGGAGGTAGCTGGCGGGCGGCAATTGCCACGACCAACTTCCAATACTTGCCCTCCGCGTATGGCACTCGATTTTGCTGCGAAAAATTCAAGCACAAGGTAATTTGTGTCTTCGCCAAGTGATGTAGCTCGTCATGCTGAGAATCAACACCCCAAGCCTCTTCTCGGCTAGGCGACGATTCTTGGCCTGCTCGTCGAGGAGATCCTGCTTACCTGAGCGTCTTACCGTCCGAGACTGCGAGTCCATGGTTGGATAGTGATCAGAATTTTGAATTCTATTCGTTGTCATTCTTGGGATTAAGCACCCATAAAATTGTAACTATGACATAGCTTAGCCTTTCTTCACGGGGAACTTGTTTGTGAGTCCCGCGCACATCAAACATCAAAATGCTGACGATATAGACGTGTACCTACCAACCTACCTACCCACCATACCACACATATCATACACACACACACAGACACAGAGACACATGCATGTCATAGACACCAAAAGCAGCTGACACGCATGCTCCGGGCATCCGGCATCGATCCGCCTCCTCCTTGCGGGCGGCCAGCTCATTGTTCAAAGCCTGGACGGGGGGTTTAGGGCATCCTGGCACATGAAATGGGATCCCTGTGATGCCGAAGAGCGTTCGATGCATTCAGATGTTGCCGCTAGAACCGCGGGCTGAGGAGCTAGGACAAGGATTCTGGTTATCTGTTGCGCTCGGTTGCGGATGCTTCAGCGCCAAACATTCTTCAATTTTGTTGCCGGAATTCTGGAGTGGCGCCTCAAGAAGCCCGAAAAAGCCGTCTAATCATTTAATCCTCCACAGAACCTAAAGCCTTTGCATCCTCTTCCTCTGGCCGGGCCTTGAGCTTCTCCTGCAGTCGCTCGACCAGCTCCCGGCCTCAAGGGACGGGACGCCCCCTGCTCTGAGAAGCTCGAAGTGAAAGCATCTCGACATCCGGAAGTCAGAAATCTTGAGGATCGTGTGGAGCTTTGGACTTTAGACTCATATAAAGGGAACTGAAGCGCTTCGCGACCTTCTTTCCCAAAACTTCCTGGGTCTCGCACGGCGCTCACGTCTCGCCTGGAGCTGGCGGATGAGGTCTTTGCAAGCGGTGATGTCCAAACCTGACAGATCGAAAGCAACTTTACTGTAGGTTGTGCTTGCCGGCTCGACCGACAACCCTCTCGTCCAGAAAAGGCTTCAGGATGCATTCCCTGCTTCGACGGCAGCACTGGCGCCGACGCAGAACCTGCAAGCTAAGCTGCAGGCTATGCAAGGCATCCAGCAGATCGCTGGAATCATCCGCCTTGGTTTACGCCCCACTGCTGCACTTGACTGCTCAAAGCCATGGCTACAAGTACAACCACGGCAGTTGCAACTCATCGACCATGCCTGGTGGCCTAGCGCATCCAGCCTAGTACCTGACCCTGAACCTCGAACCCCATCTTTCCGGGTGCCGCCAAAGTACCATGGTGAGCGGTGAGGCTGTCAAATCGCAAACATTGGCATCGGAACTAAAATCATCTTGCGGTTGCCTGTGCACGTCTGAGCTGCTGAAGCACGGCGCCGAAAGCTGGGTTACAGGATGGGGCTTTTGGAGCATTGAGGGTCCTGAACCTGGAGAGAGAGGAGCATGAAAGACTCTGGGACACATGAAGCCTAATGTGGCTTTCATGGGCCTCTCTCAGGAACAGCTTGCATGAGCCGAAAGCCGATGGTTGTCACAAAATGTATTCACATCGAATCGACACCGAAAAAACATCGAGCTGCATGGAAAGCCACGCACATCACTTCACAGCTGGAACAACAGGTTCAACACGCCGGATGACTTGTCAATAACATCCAGCCCAATGCAAAGCTTTCATAATCCCGAGTTGCCACGCTTCGGTTGGCATCCTCTGTACGCATATATAGATCTGAACAGGGTCTTTCCGGTCATTGACTCACCTCACCAACCTGTTTGACTAAGTTGCCCTTAAACTTAATTCATGCTTCTCGCCGAGTTTAAGCCAAGGAAAAAACTAATACACAGCTAAGTGGCTGAGTTTTTGTCTTTTGAGTTTTGGCCTCGCGGTCAAAACTCGGCAGCGCACTGCCCCGAAGATCCTATTTTGTGGCTGCCCTGCCCCCCCCCCCCCCCCCCAAACCTTGCTGCTGGAAGCAAAGGTTCACTTGATGCGATGGGTGAACTTCTGCTTTTAGTTCCACCTCCCTGCTCCATGCACGCTGCGTGGGGCTGCCGGCAGTGGCGAGCCTTGACAATCCCGAGTTGCGGGATGACAGAGACCCTCCATCCAGCCGGCTGGTCAATAAACTTAGGAACCTCCTTGAGAGAACGATGAGGAGCATGCGAAGGTGCTTTGTTGCTTGGAGTTTCGGGGCTTGGGGGTCATAGCCACGAACTGTCTCAATGACAGGATGCACCGGAGCCCATAATAGTTTGAATGCACATATCTGGAGGAGGTTGCTGAAACCATGTCCGTCATAGTTGCATGTTTTACGAAATATGCACAACATGCAAAGCTCCTTCACACACGGTTTGGTCTCTCTGTGCTCTGCAGAGACCCGTCGTTGCTGCCGTGCTGAAAACATCACGCGGGGTTGGGTTGAAAAACTGGCGTTCACGACTTCAGAGATGCGGGCTCGTGATCTCTTCGCCGGGCCTGCAACCTAGAAACATGTGGGGCTGCTGCCTGGAGGCCGACACTGTACAAGCCTCACTGCTCCCCATGCCCAAGCATGTAGGCGTCTTGGCCCATCTTCGGGGCTTCGACGGCTGCATGCACTTCCCTTATGTGCATCCTTGCCGCACTGCAAGGATGTCGCTGGTCTCACCCTAGACACTGTCGAGAACTCGGTCAACTCTTGACCGACCTCTGCTACAGTATGACTGCGACCCCACACGATCCAGATGAATCCCTTGTGGGTGAGGGTGTGCTTCAGAAATGCATGCTGCCGGGCTGGGAACAGCTGGGGCACCTTCTAACGGCGCTTGCGGCGCGCAAGCAATCCTCCGCAGCAGCTCCGGCATCTCAAAACCCTGCCATTGCTGTACTCGGACCACCAGAATCACCAGAACGTTGCAAAAGAGATGTGGTGAGGCCGATTTCAGGGTTCTGAGCTCGGCTAGCCTTCTGACCCAGGAGCGCTCCAAAAGTCAAGAGGATGCCCTCTTTTTCCAATCCTCGGGGGAGTTGGTGAAGACTTGATGCACTGCAGTCACTCTTGAGGGTTTGGGGGTCTGCAGTAGGAGGTTCCGAAGTTGGGCCACTACCGATGCCCTCCTGAGCTTCACCAAGCTTCGGTTCCGAAGCCTCCAACATGCACTTTCAAGTCCGATGACAGCTTCCAGCTCACTCGAGGCTGTCGTCGTCGTGAAAACGCTTTGCAGGCCTGGAATTGCCGGCAGTGCATGGCCCCGACCGTCCACACAAGGCGATGCTGAAAGAAGACGGGCTGGTCTGCCCTTCCTGCTGGCACCGTGAAACTTACGATAATTGAACTCGGAAGCCCGAAGCCTAAAGGTTGCCAGGAAGCTTCAAGGCAAAAGCCTTCTTAGTCCAACAGGTCCCAGGCCGCAAGCTGAGGCCGCCACTTGATGGAAGGGCGCAAACGAAGGTAAAGCTTCTTCAGAGGCCTGGCATCATGGCGGCTGCGGCTGGAGCTGGTCCCAACAAAAATCGTCCCGAACCCCTTGACGAATCTCAATCAGAATCTAGAGGAAGGACGACTCCGGAGCGGCAGGTCTGCGCCTACGAGGCCTACTACCGCACCCTGTTGCAGGGACACTTGCAAACAGAGGTCCGAGGCCAGTGAAACGGCTGCCGCCAACATCTGCGCACGGCGGAAAACGGTGCCAGGCAGCATGCGGCATGCTGTCTTTTTCGGAAACATCCCTCTGAAAGCGGGGTGCCCGTGCTCAATCATGCAGGAGGACCACGCCAGGGTCCAGTCTCAGCAGGAGGCAACATGGTCTCCGATTCGTGTCTTGCCCAAAACTAATCAGCTTCTGGGAATCCTCTTCCTGAAAACACTGCAGGAAACCAGTCTTGAGCCATGGGCCAATCCAATCGAACTCCTCCCAGGGCAGCTACGAGAACGGAACGGAGGCTGAAGTCTTTTACTTTTACAGTCCTAGCCCTAAATCCTAGAATTCGCCATGCAAGGGCGTGGTATGGGGATGAACCTACCAGCGCAGAGTGGAAGTTGAACCTTTTGCAAGGTCGACACGCGGTAGCCAGGTTGAACGACACACGTAGCTTTGGAACATCTTCACCGTTCCGACAACACGCGGGCCACGCAAACGTCGCCAAAGCTCAAGTTGCTCACTGTCCAGCTAAATGTGCCGAGACGGGGTGTCATGGTCGATCTAGGATGCACGACGAAGCCAAGACAAGCTGCTGAAGACTCCCAAAGTAAACTGGCATCCTCATGCGGCTCCTTCCATCGGTAGTGCCTTGGATCACATCCCGCGGCAACTCGCATTTTCTGGTACCTGAGGCGACGCGCCCTTCCCATGGAAGCCAGAAGCAGGAGAATGCTCGGATAGCTCCAGGAATCCGAGGCCCGGGCTCCTGCATCAACATGGCGGTCCACGTGTTGGCGATGACCAGCCT